ATTGTTTGTTTGTTCTTTATCATAAAATAATGCAGTTATCAATAATGCTATGATTTATTTGACATCCATATTCAGTTCATTAAATAAAGTGTGACTCGAGCATGTACGAACGGATTTTGGATCGATTCTAAGATTTACAACTAGCACAAAAAAAAATAAAAATTAAATTTAAATTGAGGACCAATTAAAAGTTTCGTAACCATAATTAATTAAAATTTAAGTATAATTATGATGTGCAATTTCTCCGATCCTATAACGCATCTTTTTGTTTGCTTATGTAATCCTTGATTTTAGCTAGCATCTAAAAAAAGGACTTAGCCATGTATATCATCTTCCGTGTATCGTCAAAGCCTCCAATTTTGAATTAATTTATACTCTCGCAAAGCCTCGGGTTCATGCAAATCTGTTTTTTTTTTTTTTTTTTTTTTTTTTTTTTTTTGAAAATTCCGATCCTATCCGCATGTAACGCAAAAGCAAAAGCCTCCCTTTTGAGTTTTTAAACTTAAAATCCCAAAGGTTGTTGATTCGAGGGCATTTCGAAAATGGATTACTTAACTAATAAAACATGCCCAAGGATTAATAGATCAGAAGATTTAATATTTTTTGATCAATCATCAGAAAATTTATTAGTATCTTGTAGGTGAATACTGAGAAACTTTATAATGTGGACCATTTCAAATGAATGATTAACGTATTTTTTTAGTGCATACCATAGGATGGATGACGGCGTCACTGTTTACCTTACTATCTTGTTTACTTACATTTTGGTTAATAAGACAACATGTAAAAAATTACACCAAGGTAAAATAAAATAAAAAAGATCATGTTTTCAAAAGGATTAAATAAAATAACCACTTGACCCAAAAATTCTACATTATAAATGACAGCCTGACGAACAACGATTGATTATAAGATTGTTAATGATGGTTCCAATTTATACGATATTCGATTTGCTAACGTATTTTTTTATAAGACAATCAGTTTACTTTGCAACAATAAGAGATTTATATCAAGCAGCCAGTATCATATCATTTTTTAATCTTTTATTGGAATATTTAGGATCATCAGAGCATATCCGTACAATAAAATTATCAAGGGTTACTTCCACCCCGGCTCCTCTTCCATTTTGTTGTTGCTCGTTTAATCCATCAAAACATACCTTATTATTACCAGGATTGAAATTAGGTGTATTACAATATGTATTGATATTTTATTTAACAACCTTAATCGCTTTAATATTACAATTCTTGGGCGTGTTTTGTAAAGAAAGCTGGAGTATTTATTTTCCTCAAATTCATTTGGTATCGGTGCAAACTGTTAGTTCTCTGATTGCTAATTTATGTTTGGTGGGTATTATTCATTCAAATCAATCAAAGTTTCAATGATTTTTTTAAACATTCTCCCTTTTTTGTTTTTTAGAACTTTTTTTTTCGAGCCGTGAAGGATGAGTTGTCTCGTTATCAACTGATCTTAAAAGATATTTGCATCAATTGGGTAATTCAATTCGACAATATTAATTAATCGCGTATTCGTCCTATAAAGTCCAAAGTTAATTCAACTTTCAATAGGCACTCTTCTTTGTCACTTATCAAGAACACGCGTTAGCCATAGCCGTTTTCGTGGGTACGTAGATCAAAATAAATTTCATTAAACGAACAAAAAATTGATTTTTAATGTATATATGTATGTATATATACACATAGGACTCATAAGGCCAACGGATAATTTGTAAGTGTATGCATATATCATTTACCTTCCAAAAAGTATTCACAACTATCTTTTAACAAATCGAACCGAATTTTTTTTTTTTTTTCTTTTCGCGTACTAAAAGGACGGCAGATGATATATCGACAGCGATTCAGTCAGTGTTGGTGTCGATAGAATTCTTTTTCCTATCCATACTACAATTAAAGGCATTCTCTGCTGCGGAATACAGTTCGATAACCGGCAATGCCTTGTCATCGCCTAATAATTCATTTTCTTACAAATCGATGCCACCTTATACAACTCTAGAAGTTTTATTAGATGCTTTAAATCCTTTTGACACTATAATAGATTTAATGTATGTGGTAAATTTTATCTTTAAACATATGATAATGAGAAGGCCTGAACCCGCACCACCTCATCATGAAGTTAAAAGATTATCGAATTTAAGATCTGAACCTGATTTGGTTCCGATGATTTCGTGTATAGATTTAGGTGAAAGTAATAATAATTGAATAGCAGTGAATGAATACAAAGATGGAAAGAGATTTCAAAAAAATTTTTAACGAGAACATTTTCTTAATATTGTGTGACCTGATCATCAAGGTGATTGGCCGAATTTCCAAATTCTTTCACTTCCGATTTTTGGAAGATTGTAAATAAAAAAAAAAACAAAAAATTTTTCTACATTTTCAAATATTTTTTCAAATTTAGAAATTTTTTTATCAATTTTAAAATAACACACATGGTAATTTATAGTTTTAAAACGTGAGGATCTCGGATGTTTATCATGCAAAAGTAAAAAGAAAAAAACCAAATCATGATCGCCCGTGATAAAATATGAAACCCGTAAATTTTATTTGGCATGATTATGAATATTTAAATTTTTTTTTTTTTTTTTTTTTTGGATCCTGTCCAACAATATTGCGGAATTCTATTACTGGGTAAAATAATACCGGTTTTTTTTTTTTTGAAATATTTTTAATTAAGCTGTCGGAAGAGGATTGAATCGTATGTATCGGTCCGGTAATAAACTTTTGTAATGTGATTTCCTTTTTGAAAGGAAAAAAAAGCACTGGAAAATTTTAGAAGTAAACGGCAAACCACGATCAATCAATCAGATCCTTTTCGCACTACTACCCGAAGCATCTCCCGTTAAACATATTTATCAAATGCATACAGTACCCTATGGTAGTACCCCGACTATGTCGGATTATGCAAAACTTAATTTTGGCCAAAATATCAAATTTCGGCCAAATTTATGCGGGGTTACTATTAAAGACATCAGCCACGATGAATAACAATAACAACATTGTTCGTTTATTTCCTTTGATTACGTAAGATAAAATAGGTAATTAAGGATGTGATTATTTTGATTTTTAAATTCTTTAACTAAAGCATTATCTTAGGAAACGTAATCGGAGTTAATTACAATAACCTTATTATTATTCACCGTTATTATTATTTCTAATTTTATTATGATATATAAAAATTTATTCACGTGTAAAAATTCTTTTGAAATTCCTTATTACATACATAAAGTGAATTGTTTAAAAGGGTAGATTTTGATAAGCATTTCAACAATTTTTTTTTTTTTTACTCTTGGAAAGTTTCATCCAGGGCAGTCCTCCTTCTCCTTTGATCACAATCCGACTAATAAATACTTCAGCTTATGTATGTCCAACTGAAATATCCGATAGTCTATTAGTCATCAATGTCTTTAACAAAATTTCTCCCATTAACCTTATCATCTAAAAGCAAAGACGATAAGTAACGTAACGTCCACTAGTTTCGCTAGGTCTCATGATCTTAAAAACCTAAACAAATAAACATGAATAAATAAATTACGGTATTCATTCTTCCAATTATATCATATGAAACCAATGTCTATCTGGAAAACTTACTTGTCCTCTTTTCAAACCATAATATTTTGCAATTGGATCCGTTGCTTGTACACGTGGCAATTGGGTTTCCTTTAACCGGCTGATAACAAAATTAATTGGTATAATTAGTTAGTTTAAAAAAGGAAAATCGCATCGCAGATTTAGAAATATCTACACTTACTATTTAGCAAGCAATGTTTTCTTTTCTTCGTCAGATAACACGTAATGTTTGGGTACAAGCTGATGAGATGTAATATTGATCATCAAATCCGCTTCTGAAAACGTATCAACCTCGTAGTGTCTAGTTTCTCGCATATTTATAGCTTGTATTGCCTATTTGAAAAATGAGATGAAAAAAGATTGACACAAATACCAAAAGATCTTATCGTAAATTTGCATATTTATTACCTTATTAGCAGCTGCAGTGAGTGTGCCAGGGAAAACAATGATACCACGATTAACTTTTGAATCAATCATTCGTTGGCATAAGCTAAGTTATTACATAATAAATTAGAAAAAGAATTTCACAAATTTACTATTTTGTTTGTCACTTACATTTTCAGGTATTTTACACCAACAGGTTTTTCGTCAGGAAACGTTACAAGCAATTGTTCATTTGGATTATCATTCTTTTGAACCTGAAACATCATAGATTCTTTACTTTTTAATAACAAGGTATTATTGAAGAATTAATTGTGTTTAGACCAATTTTACGAATTAAATTTTATTGAAGATGAATCAAAAAATAAAACTTACACAATCAAACCATTTTTCATACATCGCTCTCGAAATAAGCTCAGGTCAGTATGTGTATCGTGGTTAATGACATAACCCTATAGAAAAAAAAAATTAGTAAAAATCATAAGTTTTTTGGAATCTTTAATAAAATAAATACCCGCTCTTTGACCATTTCGTGTACTGTACGGTAAACACGAAAAAGGCGAGCTATTTCTGAATCAGAAGTACTAGGATCTTTGGAATCCCTATCCATTTTTACGAATTAAGCGAACAAACGACGTGTTACACTCAATTTTCTGATAATTATTATAATTACCAAGAAAGGTATATGTTACGTAACTATCATATAGTTTGGCTGAACAAATTATTTAAAATAAATGATGAGGTACAAGATATATTTTGGATAGATTCTAGGAAATCGTCAGATTAACCCAGGTTCAATCTTTTTATTTTTTCTTTTTCTAAAAGAAATTTGTTCTCTAGGTATGATAATTTTTTTTTTTTTTTTAGCAGCTCAAATAGCGCTATAAATAATTTAAATCGTTATAAAATAAAATGTATTTTGTGTGCTATATATTTAAAATTTTTGCCTTTATATCTAAATTACGTAATTTTAAGATATTGTATTTGTTTTATATTTTATCGTACGAATTTTAAAACAAATAATTTTACGTGATGCCTCCTGAAACTTCGCAAGAACGTGAGCCTCTTCTCGACGAAGGTTCTCACAATGAGGGACCATTTGCTTTTACCCCAGAGCAATTTAGTAAATTGATAGACCCAAAAGATCCAGACTTGCTTAAGCAATATGGTGGCACGAAAAAAATTCTTGAAGGATTAAGAGTCGACCCTGCTGTCGGTATTAGCTCTGATGAAGGTTTAGAATCTGGCAGTCCAAAGAGCAAAGCTTTTCAAGAAAGACAGAAAGTTTATGGTAAAAATGTAAGTTTAATAAATCGAAATGTTTTAATCATTTTTTTAATTAGAAATGATAAGATGCTTATGGGTCGATCAAATTTACATTATAGATCTTACCAGAATCCGCACAACGATCCTTGTTTTCATTGATTTGGGAAGCATATCAAGACAAGACATTAAGTATGTATAGGTGAATTGTTATAGATGATCTCCAACTAGATTCATTACATAAAGCTAAGCTTTATTAATGTCGAAAGATCCTTGGAATCAAAGATTTTTTAAAAACCTATAACTTTGAAATTTCACAACCGAGCAATTTTTAAGTGTTCATAAAGTTCATTCATAAAATCGTCAAAAAATAATCTTGGTCCATATATTTTCCATTATAATAATAGTCTTGTTGAGTATTGCTGCTATTATATCTTTGGCTATCGGTATCAATGAGGATTATTCTTCCCGCCATCCTGAAGGTGAACCTCGTGTTGGATGGGTTGAAGGTAATATAAAGGTGCTGCTATTCTCGCTGCCGTTGCAGCGGTAGTGTTTACTAATGCTATTAATGATTACCAGAAGGAAAAACAATTCAGAAAACTTAATGCTAAGAAGGAAGATCGTACCGTTAAGCTTATTCGCTCTGGAAAAGAACAACAAATCTCTGTTCATGAAATTAATGTTGGCGATATTCTGGTAAGTGAGAATATCGTTTCATAACCTTTTCTTTAGACGTATATTTAACGTCTTTTTATTCATAGCTTCTTGAACCTGGTGACATTGTGCCTGTAGACGGTATATTTTTGAGTGGTCACAATCTTACTTGCGATGAATCAAGCGCAACAGGTGAATCTGATAACATTAAGAAAGGCACCGTAGAAGCTGGGTTGGATCCATTTATTTTGAGTGGTGCCAAAGTTCTCGAAGGTGTCGGCAAATGTGTTGTCATTGCTGTTGGTAAATATTTTTCTGTTTGATTTCACCTTTGATATGTTATAAATAAAAAGTTTAACAAATAACAATTTCCTTCAATTAGGAATCAATTCGTTCTTTGGTAAAACTATGATGGTAAGTGAAAAATTAATTAGTTATAACTCTTAAAATTATTGCAGCTTATAACCCAACCTGTTCCTTTAGGCACTACGCGGTGATGAAAGCAAAGAAACTCCTCTTCAAATTAAATTAGATATTCTAACTGAACAGATCGCAAAATTGGGTGTTTCTGCTGCTTTACTCATGTTGATGTATGTACTTGGAGTTTCATTTATCATGTGCCATTAATATCTCAACTAATTTGTTTGTACATTACACTTCTCTTCAGTACTCTCATTATAAAATATTTTATTGCTGCTGCTGTTTCCGACGATGAATTCCCTGATATTGAAACAATTTTAACACACATGATTTCAATAGTTATTCAAGCTATTACCATTGTCGTTGTTGCTGTACCCGAAGGTGTAAGTAATCAATACTATTATTTCGAATGAATCATTTCTGCGAGTTATTTGCTTAATCAAAAAAAAAAAATTTTTTTTATAGTTACCGATGGCTGTCACACTTTCTCTTGCTTACGCCACTACTCAAATGTTGAAAGATAATAACTTGGTTAGAGTTTTATCCGCTTGGTAAGTTCTATTATTATGTAATATTTTATGTCAAATTTTCAAGACTAAAGGCTAATTGATAAATTGATAAATGGATTTAAGTGAAACCATGGGTAATGCTACCACTGTCTGCTCAGACAAAACTGGTACCTTGACTCAAAATAAAATGACTGTAGTTGAAGGAGTCATCGGTAAAAAGAAATTCGAAAACCAAAGTGAAATTCCTGAATGGAAAAATCAAGTTGATGTTTCAACTTATGATACTCTTATTCAAGGAATAGCTATCAATTCCTCTGCTTTTGAAGATAAGGACGAAAATGGAAAGATAGTCTTTATTGGCTCTAAGACTGAGTGTGCTCTTCTTGAATTTTCCAAGTCATTCGGTGTCGATTACAGAGAAGTTAGATCGAACTCCAAATATCTCAAGGTCTATCCATTTGCTTCTAAAAGAAAAACAATGACCACCGTTATCAAATTAACGTCGGCTAGTTCTTCTCATGGAAAATCACCCGCTACTACAGATCATCGTATCCATGTAAAAGGTGCCTCTGAAATCGTTTTGGGCGCTTGTACTCATTTTGTTGACAAAGATGGCAAAGTTCAAAATTTCGATTCTCAATCTAGACAACAATTTGATATCAATATCACCATGTTTGCTGATAAAGCTTTACGTACGATTTGTTTGGCTTACCGTGATATAACTACGGAAGAATTCGAAAAACTTGATGATGAAGAAGCTCCAGTCCACGATTTAATTTGCTTAGGCATTGTTGGTATCCAAGATCCTTTACGACAAGGTGTAGAGCAATCCGTCGAAAATTTCAGAAAAGCCGGTGTTTTTGTAAGAATGATTACAGGTGATAACCTACTTACCGCTAGGGCTATCGCTCGTAATGCTGGTATTCTTACAAAAGGCGGTATGTCTATGACTGGACCGGAATTTCGTGATAAATCTCATGAAGAACAACTAAATATTGTACCAAGATTACAAGTACTTGCTCGTTCCTCTCCAACAGATAAAACCATCGTTGTAAATTGTTTAAGAGAATTGGGAGATGTTGTTGCAGTTACCGGTGATGGTACAAACGATGGGCCTGCATTGAAATTGGCTGATGTTGGATTTAGTATGGGTATAGCTGGTACTGAAGTAGCTAAAGAAGCTTCATCGATTATTTTAATGGACGACAATTTCAATTCCATTGTCAAAGCGTTGAAATGGGGTAGAGCTGTTAATGATAGTGTTCGAAAATTTTTACAATTCCAACTTACTGTTAATATTACAGCCGTCATATTATCTTTTACTAGTGCAGTCATAAGTGATGAAAGTGAATCTATTTTAAGTGCTGTACAATTACTTTGGGTCAATCTTATTATGGATACTTTAGCAGCTTTAGCATTGGCAACTGAACCACCTACCGATGAACTTCTTAACAGACGTCCTACATCAAAGAAAGCTTCACTTATTAATTATAGAATGTGGAAAATGATTCTTGGACAAGCGATTTTCCAAATAGCTATTAATTTGTCTTTATTACGTATGGGACCTGAGATATTCCATCTTTCAAATTCTAACGAAGATCAAATAGTTTTACGTACATTGGTTTTTAATACTTTTGTATTCTTACAAGTATTTAATGAAATCAATTGTCGTAGAATTGATGATAACTTGAATATTTTCAAAAATATTTTCCATAATCAAATTTTTATTATAGTTCAAATAGTTGTAATATTTGGACAAATTGCTATCGTCGAATTTGGTGGTGTAGCATTTGGTACAGTTGGTTTAAGTTGGCAACAATGGTTAACTACCGTATTAATTGGATCCCTTTCGTTACCCATTGGTGTTATTATCCGATTAATACCAAATACTTGTGTGCCTGAAAGTATCTTGGATGAAGATCATAAACCAATTGTTAGTCAAGGGAAGATGCAATGGGAGTCCGCCATTCAAGATGTAAAAGCTGAACTTAAAATTTTCTCAGCTTTAAGAAAATCTAGAAAGAGTAGTAGTCCGAATAGTCCAAATAGTCCAAAGCCAAAAGAATTATCAAATATTGTTCAGAACCTTGTGCATAGACGTAATCGAGATTAAATCATGGCAATAATCGATAGATACGTGACGAATATTCTTTTTCTTTATTAAATTTTTATTGCATTAATATTTGCCTAACTCTATTTTTACATATTTCTGTCTATTAAATGATATATATATATTATTGAATTTGGTACAACGTTTATCTATATATGTATGGTGGTGATTGGGGGGTTTTTTTTATTCCTTTTGTTCATTTAATATCCGAACTTCTTGGATATTCACAATACCTATCTCCTACATATGTAACTTGAAAGATGCCTGTATAAAGTAAATAAATTATTATTATTGTTTTAATAAAATTATGGGTTAACGTGTAATACAAAGTGTAAAAACTTACCTTCTAGTGAAGTGTAAATCGAATGTTGATGTTTATTAACATTAAGGATTGTTTGTGTTTCAATAATACGACCTGGTTTTCGCTTATTGCCATCTTTTAATAATTCTCTCCTTGTATATGTAAATCGAAAAGGTGGCTCACCTAACGATAGAATATCATATATTAGTTGAATAATAAATATATGTGATATCCATTACTAGTTGTATTTACAAGTCACTCACCAAGAAAGTCTATTATAATTTCAGTTTTATCGCCTTCTCTGATATCTGATATAACTTCCTTGCCTTCAGAAAGAAAAGCAGAAGGAAGATCATAAATAATCTCCGTTAGATTTGTAACTGAACCACAACATTTATTGCGTTGGTGACAAACATTGACAATGGTCATATTTCCAGGTTTGTCTGCACCAAATGTGAAAGTGGCCGCCTTTGATGTTGCAAATTTTACTTCTCCGTTGTATTCATAAGTAATGTTCCATGGCGGTATGCCTTAAAACAAAATGAATATATTATCAAAATGATGAAATAAATAAAATGAAATCGGGTTAAAAATTTTACCTTGCAATGAATAATCCAAAAGATCCCCAACGCAATGAAATTGATGATGAAATGTACGATCGATCGATGCAACGTCAGTCACCTGAACAATAAGCTTTTTATCAGGACCTTCTAAACTACTACTACATCCTTGCGAATCAGAAACATACACAATAGAAATTATATACTGTCCAACTAAACTAAACTTTTCTCTTGGCTGGAAATAATAAAGCGTATTATTAATTGATTCCATCCTCAATGTCTCCACATGATTACTACTTTCATGCATAACCTCGAACAATAGTGAAAATGGGGGAACTCCATCCAATTCTATCATTATTGAATCATCCTTGGTGAATGCAGTACCAACACAATGATAAACAGTGCCCGTATTGGCAAATCGTGCATTCGGATTTGGAAGAACAGTTTGTACAAGAATTAATAACATTTCGTTGGGTTCCGTATAAATATCATCCGCTATAGTAGAAAAATTGTATGCATGTATACCAGGATTCTCGGTCATAAGCCGAATCCTTGTTGATGGAAATCCTATAGTCTGCTGATGTGCAGTATTTAAACTAGTTGAAACTATGCTATAACTAATAATCCATGGTGCTCTCCCTTCAAGAACTAAACCAAGTGTATCTTCTTTGCCGGCACAAATACTATTTCGCTCGAAATATCCTGGTTGTGGTAAAGGTTCAGCATCACCTTCAGCAATCCTCAAAGAAGGCTTCGGTAGCCATCTCACTTCGATTTCTTTCTTTTCAGTGATAACCTTCCCAATGCAATAAGAATCTTTGACTTCTAATAACTCGTAACGACCAGGTTCTGTCACCGTTAAATATGAATTCGGATTGACCAAACTATAAGCTTTTCTAACATTATCCACATCTTCATGATAAATATAAGTAACTTCCCAACGTGGATTTCCAGTAAGTTGTAATGGCAATCCAACACTTTCACCTTCAAGGAATCCAAGAATTTCATGAGCATTCCTAAATCCGACAGTTGGCTTATCTCTCTTGACATTTATAGTAACAAAATCGTCATTATCTAAGACCTGACTACAGCCTTTAGAGTCAGTAACCTTTTTCAAAGTTACAGTATACGTTCCAGGATTTTCAAATGGAGGTGAAATGATTACATAACTAGGACCTTGAATGTCAGCAATTGTAAAAGCATTTGTTCTTCTATTAAATACAACTTCATATCTACAATGCAAAATAAGAAATTGATTAGAAACCAACGACTTCATTAAGAACCAAATCATTTGCTAGTAATTATATTTACTCTAGAGTAAAAGGTCCGGTACCACTCAAAACCACATCCAATTCAACTAAATTACCCATACAACTATTTATTATTCGATCCTTTACGCGTCGAAAAACGGCATTAGGTTTCGGATGAACAGTTTGTGTGAACCTATAATCAATATCGACTCCTTCAGAATATATATAATCTGCCAAACTGAAAAATCTGTATTCGTAGTGCCCTGGCATAGGAGGCTTTACAGTTATTGTGCGTTTAGATTTTTCGCTCATTACTACCTCTTCTTTTGTTTCAACTTCAGATTTGATTGAAAATTCAAGGACCCTATTAGAAAAAAAAAAATTTTTTTATTCAAAAAGTTGAATGAAACGTATAAGAATCTAAGTGTATATGTATGTATATTTTTTAACATTACCATCTCGGGATCCCAGTAAAAGATAAAGTTGCTTCAATACCGATTTCTCCAGGACAATCTTCAGCAGAAATAGGAATTGCGTCGATCTTAACAGTAGGAGGGTAAGCGATAGATAAGGTATTCGTAGATGGTGCCAAAATTTGTCCCGAACATTTTGCATCTGACACCGACAATAATTTATATGTACCAGGCTTATTCACAGATATAGAATATCCCATTTTACTTTCTCTTATTGTCATATTAAGTATTTCGGTTGGTTCACTCGATAAAATATCCGTCATTTCGGCAATATCTTCAGACCAATATCCTACATCAAGTTTCCAAGGAGCTAATAAAACATAATTGGTGTAAAAGTCTGGTTCAAATTAAAAGAATGACTAAAAAATAATTTTACAATACAAACCTACACCTTGTAAATTTAATTTCATTTCCGCATTATATCCTGGAGGAATAAATAAAGGTGCATCTGAAAGAAATTTTGCAGTTGGACGTATGAATGCATCATACTTTACAAATACATCTAGATTTTGCTCATCAATATAATTATAGGTATTATTTAATAAATCGTTGACTTCCAGAACTTTCAAAGAATAGGTTGCAGGCGTATCAGCTGTCATATTCAATTGTACTGTTATGATTTGATCGCGCGCCCACTGATAATTTCCAGAAGCTGAGAATAACTTTGCTCGATCAGGTTCTGCTATGGGGAACTTAAGATGTTCTGCACCAATTCCGTCTATAGTCATATTGACTGATTCATCTCCAATACATCTTTCATAATAAACGCTTAAAGGTGGTACTCCCTTTAGAACTAACTTTGTATATATTTCATCATTCATACAGCAATTTTTGTCAGTAATAGATATTAACCTTGCTTCAGGACAATAAACTAGAATTTCCTCTTTCCTATAAATTTTAATTCCCATCCCATCTGCATCCAAGGCCTGTTCAATTTTATACACTCCCGGCTCGGTTACAGGAATATATACAAAAACACCGTCTTGAATAAGATCAACTAAACGATGTCTAGAAATTTCTTTGGAAGAAAACTCATGAATAGTCTTATTTCCTGATTCAAAATCTACTCGTGAATAATGAATTAATTGCGGCGATGTTTTATTGAATAATATAGGTAATACAACCGGAATACTTTTTTTCGAATCAGTTCTTTTAAGACAATATCTATCATCATCTGGATTCAACTTGGCAGTAGCATATGGTAAAAGTCGAACCGTATGCTTTCCCTTTATGTGTGACGAATTATGTCTTACGACTACATCAACCAATATAATAAATGATTTAGCAATATCTTAGGTTTACTAAATTTCATTTAAATAATGAATTCACTTTACCTTCTATTTGTATATCTTCTTCCATACTAACAGCACGTACCTTCTCGCCACGTAATTTGAGAAATTGTTGTCGGACTCCATTGATATAATAAATAGAATGCTATTAAGGTTAGTATTGGAAATTATAAAGGAATTACAACAATGAATGCATTCGTTTATAAAGTTATACTCTAACAAAAGTTCTAAACATTTGACTTACTAAGCATTGAGGAGGAGCCAAACACATCAATTATTGATTTTGTAATTCCAGCATCATAAACCTACATGATAAAGACTTTTGTTAGGAAGAGCTATCAGTAATGAAAATTCATACGCGTAATCTTTAAACATACCCAACGTGGATATATAAAGAAAGAATTTATTATACAAGACAATATGAGAAGGAGAATTATTTTCCATAAAGGGAAATGTAGCCAAGGTATTCGACAAAAATATAACGTTATAAAAAACATGGTGTCTATTAAACACCATTGGAAAAGTACTCCAAATAACGAGAAGTGTTCAAGCCCAGTTGTAAAATAATATAATTTGTATGCCCATATTGCAACAAATACAGCTGTAGCTATTAGTCTTTGCGTAGGTACAGAGGCATATCTTGTTGAAATCCGAGAAGGTTCTTGTAATAGAGGATTCGTAGGCTGAGACGCGACTTGCCGTACAGACATTCTTTTTCAAACTTAAATGTCGAGTGCCATTTTTTTTTTTGTTTTTAAAATATTTATCTTGATAATCAGTTACACGGTTATCCAATGATTGGGTCATGTATAATGTTATGATCTGGCCAATCAGATTTTTTATCGCTGTTTTCAACAAAAAAATTTTCGACATTTGTGTAACCTATTTTTAATCCAAATAATCCAAATAGGGATGGGAAATTAACGGTTAATTAAGATTTGGTTAATTAACCGGTTAATTAACCGATAATTAACGGTTAATT